ATTTGGAAAAATAGGAGGCCCAGAATAGCAAATGTAGTCCTTAGCCAGAAATATGAAACAGGATTTATTACAATAACAGACCTTAAATTATACCACGGAGCCATAGGAACAAAAATAGCATGGTATTGACACCCAAATAGGCAAGAAGACCAATGGAACAGAATTGAAGACACAGAGACAAATCCACATAAATACAGTTACCTCATACTAGACAAAGACACCAAAAAATACACACTGGAGAAAAGATAGCCTCTTCAACAAATGGTACTGGGAAAACTGGAAATCCATTTTTAATAGAATAAAAGTTATCCCCTATCTCTCACTCTGCACAAAAATCATCTGTAAGTTCATCAAAGACCTAGAAATTAGACCAGAAACCCTGCATCTACTAGACTAAAAGATTGGCACAACACTTCAACACACTGGCACAAGAACCGAATTCCTGAACAGATTCCTAAAGTGCAAGAAATAAAATCAAATATCAACAAATGGGATGGCATCAAACTGAAAAGATTCTTCATGGCAAAAGAAACAATCAGAAACTGAAGAGAGAGCCTACAGAATGGAAGAACATCTTTGACAACTGCACCTGTTACAAGGTATTAATTTCCAGAATGTACAAAGAACTCAAAAAGCTTAACACCAAAAAAGGAAGTGACCCAATAAAAAAAGGGCAAAGAAACCTAACAGACCCTTCCCAAAAGAAGAAATACAAATAATCAACAAATGTTCAACATCACTAGCAATTAGAGAAATGCAAACTAAAACTATGCTGAGATTCCAGCTCACTCCAGGCAGAATGACAATTATCAAGAACAAACGTTGGCAAGGATGTGGGGAAAAGGGAAAAAGTCCCACTCACACATTGTTGGTGGGACTACAACTGATGCAACCACTCTAGAAAGCAGAAAACTTGGAATGGAACCACCATTTGACCCACCTATCCCACCCCATGATATATATCCAAAGAATTTTAAATCAAATACTACAGTGACACAGCCACATCTATGTTTATAGCCACACAATTCACAATAGATAAGCTGTGAAACCAATCTAGATGCCCATCAATGAGTGAATAAGGATATATATATATATCATGGAAATGCATGAAATATTACTTGGACATGAAGAAGGATGTCCTTATGACATTTGCCAGGAAATGGATGGATCTGAACAATATCATGCTAAGTGAATAAGCCATTCCCAAAAAACCAAAGGTTGAATCTTTTTGATGATATATGGAAGTTAAACCACAATAAAGAGAGGGAAGGGAAAGAAGAGAAATTCAGTATTATTCAGAACTAGACAAAGAGCAACAAAGGGAAGGGAGGAATAGGAAAAACAGTAGAATTAATTTAATGTAATTTTCCTATGTATATATATGTAAATACCATCATGCCCACCTACACAAGTGGAGTCCTAATTAGAATAAGATATTCCATGCTTGTGTAATTGTAGCAAAATGGATTCTAATGTCACATATAACTAAAAAGAACCAACAAAACAAAATGAAGAAAGAAAGGAAGTGGTCCAGAGTCTMATGCAAGCAGAGAGAGCTGTTAAGATAAGGTCTGGAGAGTCTCCGTTGTTTGGTAYAGAAGGATTGATGTGCTTAGTCAAGCATTGGACGCACTGTCCTGTGAGTCATTCTGGTTCCTGCCAGATGGTAGAACCAATATCCAGAAGATGGCTATCTTAGAGAGAGATGGAAAATGATTCTTTCATTGGTAAGCAGTTAGCTATAAAGCTTCTGTAACTCCTCTGTGCATCCAGGATTCTGCTATGCWGGTATCAGAGCTGACCAACTTTGAATCCTTGGCAGTAAGGCTTGAATAACAATATTCCCCCAATGGTGTAGGGTCTTTCATCAGGTGGACATGGCAACACCTCAGAGCTGGTCACACTAAGTTGTTATGTAAGCAATTTTAGGAACCCATAGGAACTCTTCCCCCTCATTTGCACAGACTCAGCCAAAACAACTATGTGCAAATAACCTAGTGCAAATAACCGGTTAGCGGTTTACTTTGCTTTTTGACTTTTAATTCAAACTAAACATTATATAAGAAGTTTTGATAATAACCCATGAACTTCATCTTTTTTAAAAGGTAGTGTAGCTCTCTTCCTGTAGGGTAACCATAGCAACTGACAAGGAACAGAGAAAGAGCTTTCACACATGCTGTGCTAATTAATCCTGTCCTACCGTTTTCCTTCAGCTGGAGGATGCAGTTTAATAAATTTTGCATGAGTAAGCGTGTTTTGATGCATGAACTATATAAATACATAGTATTAGCTTTATCAATTTTTTTTTCAAAAATATTCAGTTGAATACGGTTGTATATTCATACTTCATGGTATTCTTTCTGTTTTTCTTTAATTTCCTTTTTTTTTTTTTTTGATTGAGCTGCTGTTTTAAGTATGTACTCCCTCCCTGAAATACTTTGGGTTTATTGACCTTATTAACCTGACAGAAACATCTTTCAGGTGAAAACCTTTTGTTCATCAATATACAGGACACTTTCCACAAGAAACTGTTTTAATTGACTAACTCTATTAAAGGGAGAGGATGAAAGAGTTTTTCTTCAAGCAATGCAGGAGACTGTCTTAAAGTATATAGCATTCTTCATTTTGTTCACACTTACATAAAGCCATTTTAAGAAGCTCAGTCTTAACGATTTGAAAAGTTAGATATTGAAAACTCATTTTCACTGTCATTTGTGAAGTTTTATGGCCCATCTAAATGAAGATGGGGCGTTATTTGACCTCAGCATGTGGGAAGGAGGAGAGAATTATGAAGACTCAGATCTTTTTCCATTTATATTTTCCACAAATATCTAACCAATTTAATAGATTCATATTTGATCTGGAAATTACTTGTAATTACGTTGATTTATACTATTTCTGGGTTATCTTAAGGCCTAATTTTCTCTTTACAGTTGAGAATGTCACAATTTTTTCTATAAACAGACTGGTCATCTGAAGTGTCAAAGAAATCTCATGGGTTTTCATTCTTTTATCCCTCTGGCCTGGCTTTTGACAACAGGGCCTCAGGAAAACCAAGGGAATCCAGCCTGATTTTTTTTCCATCCTATTTGACTTGACAACAGCATATGGAATGAGTCAGAACCTATTTCAGGACTTGTACTTAGCTCTTTGGTCTCTTTATTAAAGCATAGTCATTGGAGGAACCAGACCTTTTAATGAGATGACCAAATTTTAGTGCTACTTTCCCATTCTGATTATTCTGTTACTTAGTTTTGCCTGAAGTGAGGTTAGACAAAACCTTGCAGAGGAAAGAAGAGGTTATTATGTAAATATGTTATTGGAAATAGTTATTCTATTCACGTGCAGGAAAATTGAGTACCATGCGTATAATATATATATTTTCATATGGAATGCTTTAAGCATTGACCAATTTATAATATACCTTCACATTATTATAAAAATTTCACTGTAGAAAAAAATTGAGTGACTAAAACCTTGGTTGATTTTATGAAAAATTCTTTATCTTACCTGCTGGCCTATAAATTTTAATTTTGCATGGAATACAGAAAATGGAATTCTATATTTAATAAGCAGAAAAACTCATGTTCTTAAATACTACATAAAAATTTTAGTAATCAGAACATTAAAATGAATATGGAAAGGAGTATTCACTATAAAATGTTTTGTGTGCCTTGAGCATCATAGTAGTAAATATTATTTTTATTTTATTAGTAAGTGTTGCATTGCTGTGACAAAATACCTGAGGTAATCAAATTAAAAGGAAGAAAGGTTTGTTTTGGCTCACAGTTTCAATCTATGGTAGGTTGGCTTTATTGTTTTGGGGTTTTGGTGAGGGACAATACCATGACTGGGAGCTAGTGGTGGAGAAAGCTGCTCATCTCATGACAGCAAAGAAKCAAAGAGAGAAAGAAAGAGACTGGTATAACAATATTCCATTAAGGTCATGGACCAGTGACCAGGGCCTTCTATTAGGTGCCATATCCCAAAGGTCCCACCATCTCTCAATTGTACCACAAGCTGATGACCAAGCCTTTGGCATGTGGGCCTTTGAAGAACACTCCAGATTCAAACTGTTGCATTTGTTATCAGTGAACATACCAAATAGAGATCTATCACGGTTTTTTTTCCTTCTAAAAAATAATATCAAAAGATTTTGTGATTTTTAAAAGGATGATATATTTATTGCTCAACACTTGAAAAAAAAACTAAAAAAAATTAGAAAAGAAAAATCCTATATTCTAGAAGTAATCACTGGAGACATTCACACTATTTTCTGCCATTCTTTTTCTGTGTGTAAGGATTTTCAGTTATGAAGTCAAGCTGCATATACTATTTTCACTTCACATGTGATCATTTCCCCAGTTTTAAAAGATTTTTAGAAGACATTTTAATTTATCACATATTCTCTCATCACCTATATGTACCAGGTTTATTTGGTGATTCYGTTATAATTGTTGACTTTTAAATGAGTTTCCCTACTAGTGAGTATTTGAGAGAAGACTGAAACTACAAAAAGTTTTGGGACAACCCTTTGAAAAAAGTATCATACACTTTTCCTGCAGATTCACAAATACATATAAAAAATTTAGGGGCCCTGAGAACTCTTCCAATTGTGAAATTGTATATCTTCCTAAATTCCATTTTTTCTCAAAGGAATCCTCTCTTATAACACAGATTCATAACTCTCAGAATAGAATTCTATAAAACATACATGGAAAAGTCCAGGATATATCTAAGCTTTTCTGCTAAGTCTGATAGTCTTAATTATTTGTTTACTGATTCATGATATTAGTGCTTTATTTGGAAATATGAATGTTTTAATGATTATTACCATGTATCAAAACACAGAGATCACAATATATTTTCCTCATGGTATTGCATTCATGATTCTGAATTACCATAGTGTGTTTGGCCTTTTAAAATTAAGAATGTTCAGATTTAAAGCCCTTGTTCTATTAATGCCGATTTAACTTGTTTATGTTTCATCTGACCCACAGGTCTTGCAAGAGCAAAATCTGTCCCCAGCCACACATACTCCAATGAAGTAGTTACCTTATGGTACAGACCTCCAGATGTCCTCCTGGGCTCCACAGAGTATTCCACCTGCCTTGACATGTGGTGAGAAATGGAAACTTTACTCTACTAATCTATGTGTTGCTTGGTCTGGGTCAAGCCTAGACAAACATCTTAACAGTTTGGATGAAGATTAATGGTGCAGGATTGTTCCCTGTGYGTGGAAGTACTAGTAGATTTTTTAAAACATGATTGGGAATGTTCCCTAATCAGAGTCTGCCTGCAGATGGTGTCTGGTAATGGATTCTTGATGGACAGAAGCAGAGACATTTTTCTAATTGTTATTTTTCTCCTTAAGGGTCTTAATTGTGCCTTTATTTTATGACAAGGAAGTATATATCTCCAAACAGCAATAGATTTATTTGGAAGTTGTGGGGAACATGTTTAAATTCACRACAAAACTCAGACACATAGTCTGAAATTTTAAACATAAGTATTAGGTACCAAATTGCTCAAAATATGCCCTGAAAATTGTTGATACCAGTTATCCAAAATGAAATAAAATTATTAGTTTAAAAAATCTGAAGTTTAATTTTGGTAGTCTCAGTTTTATACAGTGTCTCATCAGAGCTTAAAAATATATCTCATGAGGTCCAAAGACTGGCAAGATTTAATACGTAATTATTATAAATAGTAAACTACTCTGAGATTGCACTCAAGTGTGATTTAAATGTTATAATCATATTATAAAGGATTAATCTTATTTTTAGCACTCAAGACAGGCTCACTGTCACACATGGTTATTATTCATAGAAACACCCTTTTCCTTRACTCATAGTTGTGTTCATATGAGACTTTTCACAGAGCACACAGACCTTCCCCTATGACTGTGCCCCCAAATRTAGAATTCAGCTGTGTGACCATGTCCGGGACCCCAGTCAAACTTCATGGTGCATTGTGGTCTTGCTGTTRAGTAYTCACTTCMCTGCTCTGTCCCCAGTAATCTTGGCTTTTTCAGTAAATTAGGCTGTGATGAGACCTGCCTTCTTCCCTGGTCTGTTTGATCCAAATATTTTATGGTTAGAAACCAGTCAAGTTCTTTGTAATGTAGGGCACAGAAGAGATTTTCTGATTTTGCCTTCCAGCAGCCCCTCCCCATGGCCAGGAAGGGGATGTGGCGATCTGTTAAAGCCACTGAAAATATATGCAACATTTTGTGTACACATTGAGATATTTATTTTTGTAGGGTGTAGATCTGTAGCTTTCAGTAAAAGAAACTTGGTCGTCAGACATCCTAAGATCCATTGTCATAAATTTTATAATGACCTCTAATAAATCCAATACCATTTAATGATATTCTAAAATGCTGAAAATAAAGGTGACTATCTATCATTGAGTGGCTGTGCTAATCCATTTAAACCGTTGTTTACACTATTAATCCCCCCCCCAAGAATGGGTAGATCCTCCTTTGGTAAAAGAGATAATTTAGGTCATTGGTTGCAATGGGGGGAAAGATTGGAAATTAAGGTTAATGCATCAGGCTATCAGTTACTTTCTCATTCCCTTTCTGCTTTCTGCCTTTGATTCAGAGTTGGCTAAGCATATAATCATAACATAATATTCTTTAGTTACAGAATTTTTGTCTGTAATATTTTTATTGCTACTGGGGATTGAACTCAAGGGTACCCTATCACTAAACTACAAACACCGTTTTGTTTTTAATTTTGAGACAGGGTCTCCCTAAGTTGCCCAGGCTGTCCTTCAACTTATGACCACCCCCGCCACCGCCTTAGCTTCCTGAGTTGCTGGGATTCCAGGCATGTACTACAGCACCTGGATTTCTCTATTTTTCTGAGCATGCAAATTCTGGATTGCCTTTCAATAAATTCAGTTAAGCCAGGTGTGGTGGCGCACACCTGTAATCCCAGAGGCTCTGGAGGCTGAGGCAAGAGGATCATGAGTTCAAAGCCAGCCTCAGCAGAAGCRAGATGCTAAGCAACTCAGTGAGACCCTGTCTCTAAATAAAATACAAAATAGGGCTGGGGATGTGGCTCCGTGCCTCTGAGTTCAATCCCTAGTAGCTCCCAGCCCCACCAAAAAAAAAAAAAAAAAAAAAAAAAGGAGTTCAGTTAAGGACTCCACTAATGAAACATAGTTTGGAAATATTTGTGGCTTGGAGCCAGTCTTGTCTTAGTTCCTTGGCAGTTTATTTAAGATTGTGCCCTCAGAATCAGGAGAAGCTGTGTTTTAATATGCTAGTGGCTAATTGCTCCCAAACCTTTAGAAGTGCTTTTTAAAATCTAAAGAATTACACAGAGTCTGACTTGTTAATATGTCTGTTTCAGGTGTATTTAGTTTCTAGTCTGTCTTTCCCCTCAAATGTGTGTGTGTTTCTGTGTGTGTGTGTGTGTGTGTGTGTGTGTGTGTTTTCATGTTCATTCTTTCTACAAAGATAGCGTGAGCACATTCTGCCAATTTCCTTTGAACAGAGACATAATGAAGCGTAAGAAGACGACTGGTATTTAGGAAGAAGGGAGGGAAACTGATGGCAAATAGGAGGCCCCCAAATGCCCTTTTGTCTGCATGCCAAGATTATTCATTGCCAAGAACAAATAGCAAATGTGCTAGGTTTAAGTAGCTTCACTTCCAAGCCTAAAATCTGAATTATGTCTGTGCTATCTATGCCTGTCATTTTCAATCTGACTTTATTCCAAGCCATTTTGTTATTATGCTTTAAGTCAGGTAAAAATGTATGTTTTTCCAGTTAGAGAGAAGCTCACAGGGCACTAATTTTGCATCATCAATAACACCAACACTGGATATTCAGAGACCTAGAAATGGGACTATAATTGAGTCATGGCTCAGCTGCACCAAAGAGCAGTACAAATATTAACCCATGGACAATAGCAGGGAGGCAGGTGGCGTGGTTTCAGGCTACTTTTACAGTTCATTTACCATCCTGGGGCAGTAGAGTAGTAACTAAAAACTAACGATCCCTACACAGTGTTACAGTTTCTAGTTTCCTGTTTAAATAGCCACAGGCAATAAAAATATTAATGAAGACACATATGCATTGATGTTGGCATCAAGCGATGGATATTGGAGCTGGCGCCGTAATGATTCGCTCCTCTAGGTCTCCAGTCCCATGGAAGTAAGTGAGTACACTGTGATTGGAGAACTTTTCAGGAAAGATTTTTTGATACCTTCTCCTGATTGTAGTAGAGGAATCAAATTAAACACTGCTTCTTTTATAACTTAAGTCTTGGATTTTATAACTCTTTGAAAGTCAAAGCATAGAAAATCATTGCTAAGCTTCTAAACCAAAAAGGCTTACCAGGTTCTGAAAACCACATTAAGAGAAGTGCAGAGGTGAAAAGCAGCTCATCTGTGTAGTTCTTCCCTTGCCAGGGAGCTCTGTTCTATATGTTGAGATCATTGCTCCAAATAAACTCTACATTCTTTATGGAAGCTCATAAATATGTTTAGAACTGCATTTGTTTCCTAAAGCATTAAGTTGCTTGGGCTTATTTTAAGGGATTAATGTTTAATATTGGGTGACTAAGTTACTGTAACTAATAAATGATTATCTCATCAAGATCACAGTGCTTTTGGGGGGCCCTGCGGTATCAACTACAGTGCTCCCCAACACAGTGTGCAAAGAATTACAGCATGCCAGTCTCTTCCTTTCATCATCTTTTTAAAAGCTAATTAACATATTAACTATGCTTGTCAAAATGTGAGGCAAATCACTTATAAATAAGCCTGTCAAATGTAATGAGATTGCATATTAAATCAACCCGTTCCTCTATTACATCTCTGATTTAAGATTAAAATTAATTTATTTAACATTGTAGCAGCTGGGTGGTTAGGAAAAAAWTTCCATATTGCTCTTGATATATAGCAAAAAGTCTGCATTAAAATTTATTTTACATGTTTCAGAAAAGAAATTGCCTGTTTATTAAGTACTATGAAACCATTTAGTACTGCTTTTTATTAAATAAGCCTAATCACCAGACATATTGGTAATATACAAATTTCTGCCATGATCATTAATGATCTCTTCTGAACCAAGAAAATTTGTGTAATAAAATAAATCTCCTACAACTTAGGTTTATTTGCTAATGATTTAAGAGAATCATAAATGAACCTTGCTACAKCCCATACCTTGAGAATAAATTTGTTTTATATGTGGTTCTGTGGTTTAATTTGAATAATAATTATAATAAATAATAAAAGGTACTTTTATTGAACACAAACTCTATTTTAAGCCCTGTTATGCRTTTTAATTACCTACCTATTGTACCATGATACATTGAAAGGAAACAAAACCCACAGAGACTTAGTGGTATGGTTAAGGTCATAGTTAGTAAATAGGGGCAACACTCATACTTAAGGCCAACCCATCCAAAAACAAAGCCTTTTCTCTTTACAACTTATTATATAATATCATAAAATGATTTATAAGAAATTGCTCTTTATTTTGCTACTAAAGTGATTCCAAAGCACAAATACAATAAAGTTCCTATTTCATAATTCAAGTTATACTGTCATGTTAGGTTCTTTGCATAATTTAAATATAGTGTGTGGGGGGGCTTTAATCCTCTTCCAACAGTCTATGGATTGTCTATTGACATCAGTSTTCTAATAGATTCTACTTTACCGATTTATTCAAGGAGCAGCTTTTTAAAATAAACTAAGACAAGAATAACTGGATTGAATAAATTTTCATGGTGCCAGTATCTGTGCTGGCATACATTCTTCCAAATTCCAGGCATTAATATTTTTAACAAATCTGCTAGAATGAAGGGGGGGTCCATTTTAAAAGGAATCCAGTAAGAATGAAAATTTGAGTTCATGAGCTAAGTAAAGTCATCTGTCAACCCTATTTGCATATTTTCTAATTAATCAGGCCATAAGACCAAAGAGGACATGAATTAATCATTGTTAGATATAGCAGCTCTTTAGGAGCGCTTGAGGGCTACTCAGGAAATGCACAATCCAAGTGACCTGTTGGTGTAGTTACTGACAATGTGGTGGAACATAACAGAAGAACTGGGGACAAGTCAGAAAGGCATCCCAGTGTTTGAAAGCTGAGCTCATGGTGG